AGAGAGAGAGAGAGAGAGAGAGAGAGATAAAGAGAGAAAGAGAAAAAAGAGAGAGAAAAAGAGAGAGAAAGGGAGAAAGAGAGAAAGAGAAAGAGAGAAAGAGAAAGAGAGGGGGAGGGTGAAGGATAGCAAGAAGGGAGAGATCTTAATGATTAGCGGAGAGGAGCAGCAGTATATAAAGCCGGTGATTGGCGGAACGTGTGTGCAAGTGAATGAACGACCAGGTGGCGAGGGGTGAGGAGAGAAAAACAGGTGCAAAATATAGGCGGTGTGCGTGAGAGCGAATATTAGAGCGGGTACCAATAAAGAGCAATAAAGATCAGGATTGTGTTGCGAGTGAAAATTCTTTCGCCCGGCCTACCTACGTGCGACATTAATATTTATAATCAACTGGCCGATATCGTTGTTAAGTTAATAGCGTGATAAAATAATATCGCGTGGAAAAATTTAAGTGAGCTCATTTAATTAGCCTCTATCGCGAATCGTGCAAAGACTTATATAAATAGATAATTGAATCTTATCTAACTGAGATATTATGCTTGTCTTGGTAAAGAAATATTTCTTTTCCTTTTTTATTTGTTTTTTGACACCTTGAAGCCCACTTCTGTCAAGTATTACGAGTATTCAATAAATAATAAATAAAAAACGATATAAAAATTGCCTATATTCCTTATTCTAATGATGTCTATATGTAAATAATTAAGGGAGAAAGACAAAAATATTGATGATAAAAAAATTTAATTATTAATGTGCAATTATATTTCAATAGTTTCATTCATCCTATTATTCCGTGCATTAAAATCGTAGCGTTACATTTGAAGAAACGATTATAGATCACGTTTTATACGTATCAAAGATTTCAAGATAGCAGTCAGCTTCTATAAAAGGATAGGTTTCGTGCTTCGTGCAGTTGGTTCCAATTTTTTCCTCGGTATGAATGAAAGAACGGGCGATCTAGGGCTCGGAGAAAGCTGCAAGAATCGGACGGATTAGAGGAACACGAGCAAGTATCGAAGGAGAAATAGAGAGGGGGAGAGAGATACAGAGAGAGAACAGGAGCGAGGCAGGTGTGCAGAAGGCGTATATTACGAAACGAGGGAACAAGGTGTAGACAGACCATGTCTTCGGAAATTCTATTAAAAATCCCCGCAATTGAATCTTTAAACCTTTTATTACCCTCTATAACTTGGAATCTACATTTTTTAACCGATATCTCTCCGATTTAAAATCTTCCAATAAATTACCCACCAATTAGAATCTAAATTTAAATAATATATTCAAACTAAACTAAATCAGTAATATCATTCACAAATTTAATCGTCCATAAATAATTGATAGATTGCTCGAAACGAAAGATCGATAGAAATATAGAGCGAAGGGCCATCACACTTGTACCGCGGAAGCGGTACAGAGTACAAAGGTAAAAAGGGAAGAAATAAGAGAAACGAATAATCGCCTTTTTTTCAAGGAGGGTAACGTGACACCGGTAGGAAAAATATCCGCGAGTTTTACTCGCATACGACGAGGATCCGACAAAGTGGCTTTGATCCTTATCGAACGCGGTACCCCATCCACGTGGAATCGCGCGTCAGCCTTAAAAAGCTCACCGTAACCGTTTAGCAGTTTCGAGTTACCTTTGGGGAATTCAAAAGGCCCGCGGCGCGTTATCGAGCCACCGCCTAAGCAAATATAAGCTGGAATATCCAAAAAGTACCGCGAAAGGGAACACTCTTGTCGCGTTTTGCCGCGGGTTCGAGGAAATTTTGCGAACAATAGAAGAATGGGTCTATCTCTCTTTCTCTTTCTCTCTCTTCCAGTTCGCGTGGATCAGCGAGGAAGATTTGAGAGTAATAAGAAAGGTATTTTCTTGGATAGTATATTCTTTTGAGGGGTCTAGTCTGGAACAGATTTCGAAGAGTTTGTGGCTTTTTGAATGTCGATTCAATCGCTAAACCTTTCGGTTTCTATGGATTGGTATTGGTATTGCTATTATACGTTGTGTTAGTTAAGATTCATTTAAGATAAAAGAATGTGATTGTGATTGTGAAGAGGAACTTGTATTTTTGAACGAGATAAAAAGATATAGTTGCCTAAATTTTAACTCTAAATAAAAATATTGTTGTACAAAAATAGCAAACAGATCCTGAATAGCTATTTGTCTATAATAATAAAAAAAGGAATTAATTTTTCAGTAATAATAACTTTAAACAGGTGATGAAATTAACATCATATAAAAATAATGATTTGAAAAAAAGATATATATATAATGTAAAATCTATTATTAAATTACTTTACCTACAACCAAGATTTCGAAAAAAAATGTTGAAATCTGACAAAGAATAATTATAATAAATAAATAATCCCTATGATATACTAAATAGAAGTGGAATTAAAAAAAAAATAATTACAACTTCTACAAAACATTTACCTGTCATTATTAAATCCTCGATAAACCACCCGAATATATTTATTTCTACGCAAGACCATCATTTCCGGAAGCCACCGCACACCCTTCTTCACACCAACAACATTCACCAACTCCACACGGTTAACCATTGAATCGGCTCTTTATATTTTCTCCTTCGATTTCCAACCTCGTGTCCCTTTCTCTCCATACTCTCTCTCTCCTCACCCCAGAGAGCACGAGGCCGTGCACAGGAGCCACGGAGACAACAAAGGAACAATTCTTTCCCCCTTCCCTATACTCTCGCGCTATCTCCTTTATTTATCTATCGGTCATTCGTGGAACGAGAGACGGCGCGACCGAGCAGCACGCGGATTCCACCCTCCGAACGAGAAAGAGTTACGATCCTCGATCTCGCCCGGATCCACTGGAGCTCTCCTGACCTCTCGAAGGGGATCTCGCTCTCTCTCTCTCCCTCTCCCTCTCTCTCTC